CTTTAAAAAATGTTGCTTAGGGCAAGAACCCCTTCTCATGTATCTTCATTCAGGTTTTTTATTTATTGTATTTCTAATGTATAATGGTTCCTTGATATTCACAATTCAAACATATTTACAAAGTAACAATTATTTTGGACCTTTAGCATCAGTACATATTTGGAAAGTGACAATTATTTTGGAACTTTCAGCATCCGAATTACCCATTCGAACCAGTTTTAATGTAATTTTTTATAATGTTTACTAAAAATGTACGATTTTATGCTGAATTAACATACACTTTTGTTTTTTATGTCTTACGTCTTAGAAAAAAATATGGCACTTTATATATCTTTTGCGATTATTGATTAATTTAAACTATATTAAGTGATATTGAATGCAGTTTTTCTACTTTGAAACCCATAAATTGTGAGGGTAGAAATACCTATGATGTGTTCCCGTTTTGCACACATTTGATAATTAGGTATAGAACAATTGGTGTTAAATTAAGGAATAACTGTCTTATTTTTTGGATTCATGATGTGATCAATCGAGTGGCTTGCGTGATAATTTGCATAAACGCCGAAGGCGTTTATGCATAAAATTATCACGCAAGCCAATCGATTGATCATCGTCATGAATCCAAAAAATCTGACAGTTATTCCTTATATTTACATGCTCCTGATTCTGCAAATTCCCGTGCTAATAGCCCCGCTTCTGTCTCTATTTGTCCCGCCCCGCACGTGATTTTTTTTAACCGCGCCTATCGATGAACCAGTAGATTTATGTAAAAATAAAGTATTTTTATAATTTGTAATTTTATCTCGGACAAAGGCATTGGAAATGTAAATATTATGTTTTATGTTAGTTTACGAGTTGTTGTAAATTGTGCTTTATATATATATATATATATATATATATATATATATATATATATTTGTGTGTGTGTGTGTGTGTGTGTGTGTGTGTGTGTGTGTATAAAAGAGCGAACGCAGCGAGTTCTATAGACAGCGTGTTATAGTGTATGAACGAAGGAAACTCGGGTTAGAATTTACACATTGTACAAAGAAGTTTATGGGCCCACGTGAACAAATTCGTTTTAAGTCAACTATATTTTCAAAGTTTTTACTATAGTAAATCCAAGTATTTTTACTATATAATGGATTTACAGATTGTTATTTTTATGTTCTCCATTTCATACATGTATATATTTAATATTAATTGGGACGATTACTTCTAAATTCACATATCATTTCAAAACTTTACATCAGTGTCATCGAGTTTAAGAGATTGTAAGATTTGAAATCTCAAAAAAAAGTTCCAGAGTAAAGATTCATAGTAAATCAAAGAATCAGTTTTTCTATAGTTCACTATACATGGAGTTGACTCTTTGGGTACGACTCGGTTTGGGTACGAGTCGGAATGGGTACGAGTTGACTGGATACCACATGTAGTCACCTTTAATGAACTATAGTAAATTTTGTTACGGATGTCATAATCAGAATGCAGAACGATATTTGAAGAGGTGTATAAAATTGTGGCATAATTATTACAAAAAATGAAACTGCGCTCGCCCTAACGATTTCTACGTCGGATATATTAAAAAGAAAAAAATATGGATTTTTAATTATTTAAAAAAGGTCATTTTATCGCTAAAATGAAAACAAATTAATTATATCCTACAGTGCGAAAATGACAGTGACAAATAAAGATGATACAATCGCAACTTCTATATATAGAGTACAATTTACTTAATATATTATATATTCAAGGATCGCATTTATCAAAATGGTAATTAAAAGTTTGTTTCTTGTTCGTTGGGTATTGTTTAATGTCTCGAGATTTTCCACTCATATGGAGAAGCCAACACTTGCCCAGTGGAGTGCTGCAAATTTTGACCTATACTCGGCAATTAGGGCCATTGAGCAGTGAGGGATGTTCTTCGTGCCAGCTTCTACTGCGACACGGGACCTCGGTTTATACGGTCTCATCCGAAGGACCGGCCGGTCTCCACGTCCCACAGTGTGATTCGAACCCGCGACGTAAAGGTCAACTCCTTAGTCTGCGACTCTAGAGCGACCTTCTACCACTGCGCCACGCGGGCGAAAAGAATTTTGATTAAATTGAAAATGATGAAAACTTCGGATCAAATAATTTATATTAAATATAGGTCCGCAGTAAATCATATCATCTTTCGAAAAGCATAACATATAATTGTCTGCCTCCTGACGGCCGATAATAACGAACAGTATTCGAGCTCAAGTCCATTCAAATAATACAAATCAGTAGCAGAGTTAACATGAACCTCCAAAACATCAGAGGTTGGATCAGGTGACATGGAGGAGTAAGCGTCCCCTGCCATCCGGTCAAACCCGTCGTATTTTCAGTAAGTGGTCAATGTCCTAGCACCGGAACCACTGAAACAGTGGAAATAAAGAGGGTGTTGCAGAAACTCGTGATTATTCCCTAAATCGAGAAGGTCATTTAAATACCCACGACGCATGAAGAGTTATCTCTAAATATAGATAATGCTACGTGGCTTTATTTATACAGCGGGTATGTCCAGCTTGTTATAACGAAACATTTCACATTTTATGTTAATATCATGCATATTTTTTTCCTAAATAGACTCGCACATCATTTTGAAAGATGTACTGTAAAAAGAGTGCGTTAATATTTTTCAATATATACAAATGTGTCCAATAATTACGCTATTGATGCAATATCCAAGAAATTCCATTGAGTCATTTCAATTTAGTTGTTTCAAGTCAAATCTGAGCCACTAATTAACAGAACAATAATGAAACGAAATGCATATGAATAAATTAAATTATTTTAAATGATAGTACTTTATTTTTTAATACATTGCCACTAAATAATAACATTAAATGTATGTCTTATTAGTTTTAGACACAATATCAAAGAAAACATTTTAATTCTGCATTTATTTAAAATATTACCCATTAACTTTCTGACATTATCTCCCTCTCTCTCTCTCTCTCAAGAGAGTTGTTACATTGTACTTCCATTATAGTGTATAAGAAAAAAATGTATCTACCAGCCATTCCAGGATTCGAACCCATTCTCAGGTAAAAAAGAATCTTCGCATACAGGCCACACGCTTTACCACTAGACCAGCTCCGACACTGAAGTATAGTGTGCTATTTTATGTACACACTTTTCATTTCGGGTGGATAATAATTTTTCTTCGATTTTTGTGATTTTCAAAAATATGCCTCTTTGAAACAAAAATCGGAAATGGCAGTTTTGAAGAAAATTCCTGTCTCTTTATGCGTATATCAAATTCATTCTGTTTCAAGGAGGCAGTTTTTCAGAACAATGGGGATTCCCTATTTGAAAAACAGAAAACTTGACTTATTTTGCTATGTGACTAATTTACACTTCTTTTAAATGGCAAATTGGTAGTCGATATGCATTTTGCAAATATTGTTCTACATTGTGCTGTATATACTGTTGTATCTGAAAAAAATTAAGAACGTTTTCTGTTACTTAAAAATTTTCTTTTAAACTGCTACAGCTTTAGGGAAAATAACAAAAGAACTGCAATACACTTTTTCACAAAACTGGTAAAGGCTCTGTAGTTCATAACAATTTTGTTCCTGGTTTGCCTGCTATTGCCCGGAAAAAAATTCCCAAAGAAAAAATTACATTATTTTTTTAATATACATGTAATGTCTGGTCAATAGAGCCCCAAACTAACACAACAACCCTAGTCTGAAGGCTATGAAATTAACAAATAAGCTATATGCGCCCTTGTGCGTCAAAATTATAAGCTTGGTTTTGTAATATACCAGTAGCCCTTTTCACAAAAGTCTTACGACTAAGATTAAAAATTTCCAATTCTATATATAACTAAATTGTTGTAGGTTACAAAAAATCTTATATTTCTATTACATTACAGTATATTGTGAATTATTATTCTGAAATAATAATTTTCTTTATTAAACAAGAAATTACAGAGTTATCAAATTTTAATCTTAGTCGTAAGAATTTTTGTAAAAAAGGCTACAGGGCAGAAAAATTCGAAGAAGTATTTTAATTGATTACCTTTTCACTATATGATCAATAAAGTTATGGCCTAACACTTGAACCCCGAGCCATGAATATTACAATTTGAATGAGGAACCCTTGGTCATCAGAAACATTCACTTACATGGCCGTAGGAACCGAGGGGGGGGGGCGTGCCCCCAATAATTATGCCCATATATAGGATACTATCGAAAACATAGGTACTGTATGCTTGTGCCCCCTCAATAATAATGTCTGTTGACCTTTATTTTCTTTCTTTCTTTCTTTTTTCTTTTTTTTTTTTTTTTTTTTTTTTTTTTTTTTGCTTGTCAAGGAATTTTGGTTGTTGATAGTGCCCCCAACTAAAAATGAATGGTTGTGCCCCCTTAAAGTGAAATTGCTTCCTACGGGCCTGACTTAGTTAAATGTTTGGCGACACATCCCATGTTATAGGGAGGCAGAGAACTTGAAATTATTTTTTTGGTACCTTACACCCCATAAATAGTACCAAAATTGGTTGACATTGGCAAGGACTTTTTCAGAAAAGCTGAAAATGTTTAGAAGTTAATGGTGAACCAAAGGTCAACTGACCGACTTGGGTAAAATAATGATTGATTGATTGTGTACAAGTGTTGTTGTACGTCCCGTTCAAGAATTTTATCACTGATATAGAGACGTCACCATATACCGGCGAAGGGCTTCAAATTTAGATCTTTACTCAGGGCCATTGAGCAATGAGGGTTCTTTATCGTACCAACGTCTATCGTGACACGGGGCCTCGGTTTTTAAGGTCTCATCCGAAAGACCCGTAACATTCACTCGAAAGTGCCAATAATATTGCTTGGCGAAGGAACAGTTGCTACCCATTTTTTATCGACTTAGGTCAGTCGCAGCCGTGATTCGAATACACGACGGAGCGAGCGCTCTATAGCTACCGACAGAGCTATCGTGACGGTCACTTGGGTAACATCACAGTTAGAAGAAGCACATACCTTTCGAATCAAAGCGTGATTTTTCCTCTTTCATTTTTTGCATTATACACTTTTGATCCTCTGGAAGAATAGCTTGTGTCTTCGCCGGGAAAAACCAGTACGTAGCAAAGACTATGTCGATTGAATGATTGTACATTGGATGACTTGGAGAGAGCATTGTAGGTGCCAAAGTTCCGGTGGACAGCAATCTTTGAATCCCATCGTTGTCATGAGGACCTACGTGACGTTTCTTGTTTGTATGCTTCGAATATGGATCAATGACATAATTTGTCCCAATATTTTCATTATTTTCTTTTTCTTGACTTTCATGATACTTTTGCATATATTTCAAGAATTTATCTTTTTGAAATTTATTCCATTTAATGGAATTGTTATCCATTGAAGAATTGAAGGCCTCTCCTACCGGATTCAAATCTTTATAGTTTTTGGCATAGTTAGTCATCTACAAATATATTAATAATGTACGCCTTTGATTGAGATCTTTATCTCTCTCTCTTTCTTTCTCTCTCTCGCACGCTCTTACATAATCTTATAATTATATTGTGAATTGTATTCATTGATACATGTATATAAATTGTAAATTCTTCATTCGTCTCTCTTGATAAATTTCATTTCTGTCCTTTTTTAAAATCAAACCTTTTTTTTTTTTTTTTTTTTTTTACCTTTTTTTGTTTTGTTCGGTTCTTTTTTCTTTTCGTTTCTGTATTTTTTAAAAACGTTTCATACACATTTGGATGGGTTTCAATGTAGTGAATGGACTCTCTTGTAGTATTTACCCAGTGTCTGTGTTCGATGAGTTTTCTGTCACCTGTAATAAATTTCATTCATTATCCTGTTTGTCTTTATTCATTAGATTTAGTTAAAATTCTTTTAACGGATTCTAAAATACTCCATCCAAATAAAAAAACGATTCGTCTTATTTATTGCTTTCTCCTGCTTTTGATTTATGTCTGTTTGTTTAACACCCCTCTAAAGAATATTTTCACTCATATTGAGATGCCACCACTTGCCGGTTGAGGAAATTTAGACCTAAAGTGTACATGTATACTCGGCACTCAGTGCCATTGAGCAGTGGGGAATATTTTTCGTACCAGAACCTACTGCGACACGGGACCTCGGTTTATATGGTGTCATCCGAAGGACCGGTCCTCACGTCCCGCAGTGGGATTCAAACCCGCGACGAAAGGATCAACTGCTTATTCCGCGACTTTAGAGCAAATGCTCTTACCACTGCGCCAAGCAGGCGACTCTCCTGCATTTGAATAATCTTAAATAATTAAGAGGCAGTTCATAAAAAGAACATGTCATGGATTTTTATTTTTGTTTGTAGACTACTTGAAGCAAGTGCTTACACATGGCGACATCAAAAACGATTTTTTTTAGTGTTCCTCAATTCCCTTTTTTTGGTAAGTGCATAAATTAAGTGCAAAAATGCGAACATAATGGTTAATAATTAAGTTCGTTTCTGTTTTGTGTTATATGAAACAGATACTCAAAAACTAGACATATCAACAAGTTTTCTGAGTTTTGCATTTTATTAGCAATATTATTCCTCTACCAGCAAATGTAATATGGTTCCCATTTAAAATTGAAAACGCCATAATTCCGTCAAAAATCATTGAACCGGAACAAAATGCAAAATTAATTAGATCTAGAATCAAGGTAAATAAACATACGAAAAATCAGCTCACTATCGGCAAGTTTAGAAAGAAATGCGGAAAACTCTTAAAAATTATAAAGGCGGTAATTACGTCAAAAATCTTTTAAGCGGAACGAAATGTAAACTTGATCTGTAACTCATCAAAGTAACTCACATACTAAAAGTCAGCTCAATATCTGTAAGCATTTAGAAAAAAGTGCGGAAAACCAAGTGGGACTGACTGACAGAGAGACGGAGGGACAGACAGACAGACGGGGAGGAAACCTATAGTCCCCTCCGTTTTCACCGGTAGGGGACTTCTTATCTCCCCAAGGAGGGCGTGGCCGTTCATTTGAACAAACCTGAATTCACTTTATCCTAGGATACTTTGTGGTAAGTTTGGTTGAAATTGGCCCAGTAGTTCTTGAGAAGAAACTGAAATCGTGAAAAGTTTACAGACAGATGGGCGGAATGCGGACAAAATGTGTTCAAAAAAGCTCACTTGAGCATTAAGGTCGGTTGCGCTAAAAAGGAATGATGTTAAGGCCATAAGAAATGTCAAGGTCTGAAAATTATAGCACATATAAACAGCTCCCACTGATGTAAGTGTCAGTGTAAGATAATTTATTTTGTAAAAATATACCCAGTAATTGCTTTGGAACTAAGCTAAACGCAAAATAGGAAAATATGAGATCAAGGTCACAGGGAACGTCAGAAAAAGACATTGTTAATACCAACCCTCGTAGATTGGTTTAAAATTGATTAAAATATTTTTATAAAAAGCCTTCTTTATTCTATGTTGAATGCAAAATATTTCAATGGTGCAAACAGTCTGACTGCTTCTTTTTTTAAAGATTGCATTTTTTTGTGGTTTCAGCTCAATCCCAAGGCCCCAGTAGGCAGGGACTATATCTTTTACGATTTTCGTTACCCTTTACCCTTATGACAAAAATGGTTCAGCAGTTTAAGAGAGGATCCTTAAAATGTTCAACAGTTTACGACCGACAACGAAAACAGATAGCAATATGTTACCAAATGACTCATGTGACCTAAGAATAAATCTAGTATTGTTTTGCATGCCATAAATTTACAAACCTGAATAATAAATGGGGATTCCATGTGACGCTATATGTTGATTCTTTGCCAGTAGTTTTGAAAATCCTTCAGAATTGAAACGTAGACGACAAAAATCGGACCTGCTTTGCTCATGAATGTTTGTACCTTAAAGACAGAAAAAAAAAACCCACACACAGAATGTGACTTAACAAATATACAACACATGTTCATACATAATATGACGTTTCATTATTATCATTACTATAATATATATATATATATATATATATATATATATATATATATATATATATATATATATATATATATAAACATGTATATATATATATATATATATATATATATATATATATATATATATATATATATATATATATATATATATATAACTATGTTGAATGCAAAATATTTCAATGGTGCAAACAGTTTGACTGCTTCTGAAGGCCCCAGCAGAATATATATATATATATATATATATATATATATATATATATATATATATATATATATATATATATATATATATATATATATATATATGAATTGAAAGTTTTTTTTTTTAATTTTTTTTTATAGAAAATGTCAATTGTTAACGTCTAAGCACAATGGAATTTTTTTCCATCAGAGAATTTTCATTACATGCCTGTGAATGACTTCAAAAGAGCTATATACTCGGCACCATTAAGCAAAAAGGATTCTTAGTGTGTTTCACTTCTCGAATAAAGGGTTTTTGCTGCTACCAAATCACTTGGTACACTCCAAGCCCAAGCGTCATGGTTGGATGACTATGCCATTGTGTGCATAATAAAATTTATTATTAAACTTATCACTATCAATAATAAGTTACAGTCATGGACACAGGGCAAGGTCACTAAACAATGAATGTTGGACCTGGAAGAGTTACGTGACGAGCTCCGAGAGGGACGTGCTAATGAACATTTTCGGAATATCAGACACCTGACATCGTACTACTGACAGCGGACTTGAAAACAAACCCTAACGTTTGGGGAGCGTATAGAAACGTTTTCACACTTACACAGCATGTTTGATGTACTGAGAATTTTTTCTCGTTATCTCTGATATCTGTTAGAAATGAATGACGACAACAATAAAAGACATCATCATTACCAAGATTAATAAAAATTTAAAAAAAAATCGATATAGGGAATCTTACAAACAAATCACTGCATGAATTGAAAATAATTAATATGTACATGTATCTATGCATGATATTTCAGTTGCGGATTCAAAGGGGGATATGGGGGTTGCAATGCACCCTATCATTTGATTTTGGTAAAAAAAAAATTAGATAAGCATTGTAAAAAAGTTAAAATAGGTGAAAAAGCGAGAGGTATGTAGACATATCCATGTAAACGGTATTTAAGAATTATCAAGAACTTGTTCTGTATTATGAAGTCGTTCAAAAATTTCGTTTTTTTTTTCGAGTACATATGGAAATTTTTTTTTCAACACTTTTTAGACATAGGTTCATTTAAAATGATATAGAAACTAACCTTTTCTTTTTTTTTTTTTTTTTTTTTTTTTTTTTTTTTTATAATAATAGGATACATCAACAACAAAATATTGATAAAACGTTTTCATATATGCTATAAATATTTGGCTTCCTCAAGAACTACGCATAAAAAAATACAAATGTACTCGTATATTGCTTGAGTTGATTCTACTCGTCGATTTTAATCTCAAAATGAGAAGAAACAATTATTAAAGATTCCCCTTCATCTTTTAAAGGTGATATAAAAAAATTGAGACATATTAAGTGCAAAATATTAAATAATTTTAGCATATGTAAATTAAGTAATTTCTTTGTTGAACATGAACTCGTATGCATACTTTTGAAATTAATACATAGTGTTCATATAATTTCCTCCATAATTATTATCTTGGGCATGATCTAAATACAAAATCTTTATTATAAAAACACCATTCAAATTAATGCGTTTTTATTAAAAAGTCTGTCTCTCAATTTCCCAGAATCTAGAAGCTTATAATTTCTGGACCCCACCAAGGCTCTTCCCTGTACCCACTGGAAGCCTTAAGGTGGCCACAGACACCAGATCTCCCTATAATGTGGCTGGCTTTTCCAATGAGAATATAATGACGTCGCGCACGATGTTGGTGTCAAAAAGTCAAAATTTCCATTGCGACAGCATTTGCGCTATTTTTATAATTTTTAAACAGTTAACTGTATGAAAACTATATATCATTCGGTCGGTAATTGTATACTTGATACATTTTGATATATATATTGGTCAAAAAATTCCATTTATCAAATATATGAATTCAACTATTCCGTCAATTACGTCCAAAACACATGCAGACAGGTAACAGGAGCGTCGCACATGCAGAAGAAAATGTTGATAACTTCCATAAAACAAACAATACACACATAAAATTTAGCAGAACAAGTCAAAATATGTTGTAAATGATGTAAATTCTTACAATTGTGATGTCATTTAATCCGTATGCTGTGAACGCGTCCCTCAAAATGTAAGACAGAGATGTAGATAAGCGTTAAGCGGAGAAATACGGAATGAACATGAAATGTCTTTGGGTTCTTAGAAAATATGAAATAAGCTAGATATTACATCTCGATAATCCTTTTGGTGTGCAAAGAACTATTTTTAAGAATAGAATGATATTGTGTGTTCATATGTATGTTGGGTACCTGATATTTAGAAGATTCATTGGGAGGATATTGAATAAGATAGTGTGTCACAAAGTTCGGAAGTTCCGTGTCACAAAGTTTTTAAGTCCGTAGAATGGTTAATTTTGTAATACTGAGTGAAAAATCAATGTTAAAACATTTTTTTAAATTCTACAAAAACGTTGTCACGTTATTAAGAAAAACATATCTATACAGAATTTTAATTTGGGATGTCGTAAATGTTAAGAGTAATTGCCGTGTCACATATATGTACAACAAGTAGCTATGTGTCACAATGAAATTTGACGGCAAAAACGTCACATTTAAATACGACACTCAATAAATTGCTTTCATTATTTGAATTATTTTTTTATAATTTGGCACCATACGTCATTAAATACAAAATGTGCAAAATCAAAACTTCAATAAGATATAAAATTGAATTGATTCTTGATAGAAGTGTGTGTTTTAGAGGCTATCTGCGATGTCAACATTGAATGCCACACATTGTCCAAAACTAGTAAATCTAATTACCATGGCACAACTGTGGTTGGATAAATCATATATGTAGTCATTAAATAAATACATATTAGTATATTCCAAATTAATATCAATAGAATGGTGACAAAATCTTAACAAAAAATAAATGTCAACATGCTATGTCACAGACGTAAAAATAAGGCGTTTTTGACGTTATTACGTGCACTTGCATAAAATACCATCCAAAACATTTAATGATTTTATCCAAAAACTTACTTTTTTTGCTGATATGGATGAAATAAAAACGTACCAATAATGATTAATTTTATGAACAATTTAAAGTTATGTCAGGTGTATTTATATATAGAAGCAAAACATGTACAGTGTATACACTGTATCAGTATATATCCTTGTCAGAATCTGTCCAAAAGTACTCATCGCTCGCAGTTTGAATTTTAGAATAGAGAAAAAAAAGCACATACACAAAAAATTACGTAAGGATAAAATATCAAATATGAATTTCCTGACAATAAAGTGTGTCAAGTCTATTTGCTGTTGGCAAACCGTACTACATGTACATGGGGCATTGGAAAGCATTTTACATTGGGTAGTCGAATATTGATTAAGGGTTGGGGTGGGGTGGGGGGTTAGTTGGAGGTTGTGATTTGACTTAAATTTCAGATTTTCACTAGCATATTGATAATTATTTCTTTTTGTCATCAACCCGGCAGCATTTGAAATAAAACAAAATTGAATTTTATTATGATACCGTGAACAAAAAGGTATGCAAACAACATTCAAAATGGCCGACGTTGTCATGGAAACAGAATAAGCGAGATCGGGGTATATTATGCTATTTCTTTTAATTACAAATCTCTTGTTTTTCATTTGAACTCAATATTGACAATATTTGGATATATAAGTAACTGGCCCTTCCTTTTTTCATCTTTTCATTATTTATCTATTTTAGTAATGTTTCATATTTTTCTTTGTTTAAAAAAAAACTTCCAGATGCATCTTAACCGACCAAAATGGTAACCATTTATATAAACAAAGTCCAATTTAGGGAAAGGATACTCCCTCTATACAATCCCCTGTACAGCCTTTCCAGAAACCTAGGAACGGACCCAAAGACCTCATCACACTCGGCACACCTTTGCCAATTCGTACATGTACCTCATCTAATTTGATAATTTAATAGTTTGATGAAAGACGGAATCATCCGAGGTTTGCCGAATGGACCTCATTATAATTTATCCACGGATTGGATGTAAAAGGTGTAAACAAGATATGAGTATCGAGAGAAAAAAAAAAAAACTATCATACATATATCAATATTTTGACATGTTTATCATGATGTGTATTGATACGTATAATTTTCCAATTTTGTTCTATAAAAAAGTTTTTAAAACATCACTTTTCAAAAACCGGTTTCAAAAGTGGGGGGGGGGGGGGGCTTCCCAAAAAATCTGACAAGCACGAAAAAAACCCTATACTGACCAAAAAAGTGAGGGGGTCAACTGGTATAAAACACGCTGAAGGAATTTGAAATGAGCTGGTCGATAATATTTTTATTTCTTTCATTCTTGAAATTGAAATGCAGAAATTTGGCAAAATTAATAAAATATTTTTGAAAATCTTAAAGTAACCTATTCTAAATTTACAAAAAAAAATATATATATAAATTTCTGATTTTTTTTATAAGCTTCTAATATGAAATGAGCTGAAAAAAATGTTCAAAGTATTATCCTTCATGACTTACAGGTTTGGTGTAAAGATTCAAATCTGAATCTCGATGAAAGTATGTACAAAACGGTCTCCGAAACACTCTTTTCTAAAATTTACGAGCATAACAAAAAAAAAGTATGCAAACGCATGAAACAGGTAAACTGTATCCCAAGGAGTACGAACCTACGATCATTATCCAAATCTGTGAGGCACGTTGCAACGCATATAAAAAGGGGGGGGGAGGAAAAAAATTAAATATCTTTTTTAAATA